GATTCTAGTCTATTCCAGTCTAATATTTGATTCCTTTTTCTTCCAGCTTTAGTATCGAAACCTAAAATTAGTAATATGGTTCAATTAAAAGAGAACTGGCATCAAATGTTATCTCTGCTTTCTATAGTACTGGTATTTGAAATAGCTACAATGCTGCATTTAATGTGTCTTTGCACTGCTTCAGCATGAATATTTGCATTTGTAATGAGTGCTGATGTGGTGGTCTTGATAGTAAATCTCTTTGATGCTCTGGGTTTCACTGTAAGTTGCTTTGAAGCCCATGAAGTGAAACTCCATAGACACTGTCTCCCAGTATATTTTGATTCACTATGAGATTCGGTCAAACTGAATAGAAATTACAAGTTCCCCCAGTAAAATGATATGGGATTTCTGTTGGCGTGACAGTCTCACTTATCTTGCAGAAAAGTTGGTAGTAATTTCTTTTGCACGTTGGCCACAGTGACACTGCACTCACACCCAGAGGAGACCTCCATCTGCTACTTGTTTATAGAAGCTCCGCTTTGGTTCGCAGTCAAGTCCCCAAATGGGAGCCACGTGGTAGATTTGAAATCTTTGTGTGCTGCTTTTTCGATTAAATTAGTCTGTTTGCTCACTTTAATGAAGATCTGCTTTACTCTTTAAAAAGAGTTGATAAGAGTTGCCTCAAGTTGTTTTAATGTCAGTGGAAAACAGTTTTCTCCTGTGATCCACCTCTCTGTGGTGTGTAAATAATATTATTTCTTTTTCAAATGTCATCGTTTCTCTTACTCATCAGAAATCATTGAAGGCCTTTATTCCTCCGACTTCCTTTATGTGATAACAGTGCAACCCAAGCTTTCAAACATGAATGACTCCAGTGGATCATGTGTGTAAATGTGGATGTTAGAGGGAGAAGATAGACTATGTTTAGCTTAGGGTATGGTTTGTGGTGTCTAGAGAGGATGGGGGTATTTTAGTAGGCAGACAGACAGGCTTATTGTAAACTTTGGTATTTGGGTGGTGGGTTACTATTTCCACAAAAATATCAAGCAGCACTTTTTTAGTATTGATAATAATAAGAAATGTTTCTTGATCACCAAATCAGCATATTAGAATGATTTCTGATGGATCATGTGACACCGAAGACTGGTGTAATGATGCTGAAAATTCAGCTTTGTCATTACAGGAATAAATTGCATTTTAAAATGTATTTGTAATAAGATTTCTCAATATTACAGTTTTTACTGTATTTTTAATCAACTAAATGCAGCCTTGGTGAGCATAAAAGACTTCTATCAAAAACATTAAAACACCTTACCAACCCCAAATGTTTGAACTGTATCGGTAGAGACGTATTTGTTAAGAAAACCAGTAGTTTGTTGTTTGTATTGTGGTTTATTAATAGCTGTTTTACATAACCTCTCTCTCTCATACAGAATAAGTTTAGTAGTTCAGTACTGGATGTTCTGAGTTTACTTTGTCCCTTACGGTATCATTTTACACTAAGTGGCCATTCACACAGGAGGTTTTTGCACTTAAAACATGTGATGCAGCGCAGTAGAATAGAAAGTCTAGAGACGCGTTTTGTAAAAGTTATTTTAACTTGAGCACTGTGTTTTTAGAGAGACTTGTCAAGATGCTGCAAAATGTGCAAGGTGCGAGTGCAACAATCAAACATGTCTGTCTAGTGCATGTTTACGTAGAAAAACATTGGAAAATCAGTGCAGTACAATGCAAAAACTGTAAATGGCTCCTAAAAGTAAACCGTAATCGGCAGCGTGTTTACCGGCTCCACTTTTCCATTCAGCAGTCTTTTGTTCTTTTTGTTTGGTATTTGGTGTTTATTTTAATCAGATTCTCTAGTAGGTCTTGTAGTTTCTACGCCGTATATTGGAGTGCCTGTGGTAGGACTTGATGAAGTATGTATGAAATGAAAAGATGGGAGAGTTTGAAGTTGCTGCCAAGGCTGGCACGAGTCTTTAGTGCAGAATGTGAAGACAGAGGGAGAGTAGATTGCCTTCAGCTCCATACTGGTTAAATCAATGCTGGGTCAACTGTCTTGTCTTTGGAAGAGATGTGTGGTTGCTGACAAGCTTGAATGGAGGGAAACGTATTTGTTTTAAGCAATTGTTTCATGCATCTTTCTCATGAGGTTCAGGACCCTAATGGTGTTTTAGTACATCTCGTTCCTTTGGCTCAGTGTTGATGTACATCATACGTTTGATAGCTTTATAAAGAGTTTGCAACAAATAGAAAGAGAGAGAGAGGGAGAAAAGCTGTCCTCTTCAAAGATGAGACCCAAGTTCATAAATTCAAAGTTTGGTTGAGATTCAAAAGGTTTATGAAGCTCAAGCTTTTTGATGAACGCCAGCTGTGTCCTGCTGCATATGAGCAGGAAGATAGTAGCTAATATTTTAGAAATGATGAGCAAAACAATATATCAAAGAAACTGTGTTGCAAGCAAATTGTTTGAATGTGGCTCTATGCTTGACTCAACAGTGCAAGGTTTTCTCAGTGGAGGGATCAGTGTAGTCTGTGTCTGGTTACAGTATTCAGTTTCATTCAGTCTTAGTAACCTCTATCAGTCTCTCTCCACCCTGGCTATTTTGAGAGGTGCCTTATGTCACATCAAATCCACATCTAAAATTTGACACTCACTGAGCAGGTTGTATAATATTTGTTGCTATTTTGAAATGTTCAGTAAACCCTTCAGCTTCAAAGACGAACCGTTTAAGGACAGACCATGTGGATTAACTAGGTATAAGTAGGGAGGGTGCCATGGCTTAACTAAGAGTGTGTGCGGCTTTTTTGGGGTGTGTTTACAATGTTAGCCTCCCGTAACCGAACTTCACTATTGCCATTTTGGCAAAAAGTCATGTTTGGTCAGTATTTAAAATTTAGTACTAAATAAATTAAAAAGTAAAACACAATATTATCAATATTATACACGATATAAAGTTCAAATAAATATTTTGAAATATACTACAGTTGGGGTTGGTCAGAATTTTTTTGTATTTGCAAGAAGTCTCTTATGCTTACCTAAGCTGCATTTATTTGATATAAAATGCTAAATAACAGAGAAATAATGATGAATGTGAAATAATATTACGATTTAAAATAACTGTTTTCTATTTTAATTTATTGTAAAATGTAATTTATTCCTGTGATGCAGCCATTACTCCAGTCTTTTTCACATGATCCTTCAGGAATTATTCTAATATGATTTGGTGCTCAAGAAACATTTCTTATTATCACTGTTGAAAACAGTTGTGCTGCTTAATATTCATGGAAACTTAATGTATACAAAATACTTAATTGTCACATTTGATCAATTTAATCCGTTTAAATAAAAAAAATCTTACACATACACCCCAAACATTTGAACAATAGTGTATTTAGTAGACTAAACATTCAAATGGTATGTTTCAAAGACCTCTGCAGTGTGCACCCCACCTATCAGAAGTAATGTGAAAATCCAGCCAATCAGATCACAGCTGGCCAGATCTGAAAGTGCTTGCCATTTTTGTTCATAGTATGCATAGGGTGGACAAAGTGGGCCTTTTTTTGTACACAGAAGAGCTGAAAGAACAAAGGTGAAATAAAAGGAAGAGTGAATCCAGCCGGCTTAAAGGGGTCATATGATGCTTTTTTTAAAGATCATTATTCTGTGTCACAATCCATCATCTTTAAGCACCATATGTGAACATGACAGTGTATATTTAACCTAAGAATGCTTGAGGGGGATTGTGTACATGTGAGAGAGGGATCTGGGGCCAAACAGATGCATGTTACCAGTAGAAAGCGATCTGCAGGCCATACTCTGGAAAATATCACTCCGTTCATTCAATGATCTGTGCATGTGTGCGAGCATGGTTGTGTTCCTTGAGACCTGTCATTGTAATTTGATCATTGGATTACTGATATGTTGGTTGCCATGGTGTCCTCATGCATGATTAGGTTACCATGCAGCTGAATGTTGAAAAGTACAGTAGCATTTTTTTTTTTTAAATGTGTATGTGTGATTGTTTTAATTTCTATCAGATCCAATCTGTCATGGTTGGTATTGATTAAAGGAGTAGATCACTTCTAGAATGAAAATTTCATGATAATTTAATCACCCCAATGTCATTCAAGATGTTTGTGTCTTTTTTTCTTCACTCGCAAAGATATTAAGATTTTTGAGAAAAACGTTCCAGGATTTTTCTCCATATAGTTGACTTCAATGGGGATCAATGGGTTGATTGTCCAAATTGCGGCTTCAAAGGGATCTGCACGATCCCATCCGAGGAATAAAGGTCTTATCTAGCGAAACGATCGGTCATTTTCTAAAAAAAATAAATAAAATTTTATATACTTTTTAACCACAAATGCTCATCTTGTATTAGCTCTGTGATACGCATGTGTGACTTCACGCATTACGTAATCACATTGGAAAGGTCACACGTGGTTAGTTCTTCGTCTGTGTACTTCGGTTCAGAAAGGTAGGGTAGGGCAAAAAACTCCATCTCATTTTCTCCTCCAACTTCAAAATCGTCCAACATCGTTGTTTTACCTTTTTTGTAAAGGGCGTTTGACGTTCTTTGCATGTTCGCTTTGTAAACACTGGGTCGGTACTTCACCCTACATTAAACGTGTGCATGATTACGTAATGCGTGAGGTCAAGCTAGTGCAAGATGAGCATTTGTGGTTAAAAAGTATATAAATTTTTATGTTTTTAGAAAATGAACGATCGATTTGCTAGATAAGACCCTTTTTCCTCAGCTGGGATCGTGTAAAGCACTTTGAAGCTGCATTGAAGCGTTAGCCACCATTGAAGTCCACTATATGAAGGAAAATCCCGAACTGTTTTCCTCAAAAATCTTAATTTCTTTTCGACTGAAGAAAGAAAGACATAAACATCTTGGATGACATGGGGTGAGTAAATTATCAGGAAATGTTTATTCTGGAAGTAAAATATTTCCTAGTATAGTATCATCTCTTTTTAAAGTACGTGCTAACAATCTTATTCTCTCTTTTTGCAGTCATGCGGACACAACAAAAGATGTGGATCCACTTACAGTCTGTCTTCTGAATAACTCACGGACAGGTTGAGCCATGACTGAACGGGATGGCCACTGTGATTTGTCCATCGCCCCGGGGCAGGTGTATATCGAGGTGGAGTATGATTATGAGTACAAGGTGAAAGATAGACTTATCTCCATACGGCAGGGCGAATGCTACATGTTGGTTCGCAAAACCAACGAGGACTGGTGGCAAGTTCGTCGGGAGGAGGGCACCAAGGCTTTTTATGTCCCCGCTCAGTACGTCCGAGAGGTCAGGCGTGCCCTTATGCCGCCGCCCAAACCTCGCGCAAAGCCCCCTAACGTTCTTGAAATCACCCAGTGTCGGTCGTCGAACGAAAATCTCAACCAACGCGCTCCTACGGAACGGTCCAGCTTCGGCAGGCCACCTCCCTCGACGACGCCGTCCCCATTGCCAGGTCAACAGACCCCGCCTTTATTGTTGCGGGACACCAATCAGAACTCGGGGATGAAGAGCGTTGTTGCCGAGCTCACTCTGCTTAATAACAACAACCATTATATCTATCATCATGGAAACCCCACACTTCCACAAGGACGAGCGGAATCCCCTCCACGCCTGGGGAAGCTCCCAGGTGGGTTGTCGGTGGACACGAACGGAAGCATGTCACTAGAAGATGGGTTGGAGAAAATGAGAAATGACTCTGAATCTGGAGATGAGCTCAGCAGCAGCTCTACCGAACACATGCAGGTAAGAATGAGTGATGTTCACCCTCTTCCTCGTTTCTCTCTCACGTTCTCAAGCTTATTTGTTCTCTCTCATTCTCCCTCCCTCCCAAACTTACTCATGTTCTACCTTTATCTCTTTCAATGTCATCTTTGGCTTTTATTCTGTGCATTTCCAGCACTTATCTTTACCAGAAATGCTCTCATCTCCTTTTCATCCTGTGACTGTCATTATCTTTTTCTGTAACGCGTTGTTCCAACAATTACTACGAGACTAATCTAACATTTCTTCCTCACACCTTTCCCTTTATCCCTCCCTCGGTTTTGCCTCTGACATTTACAGTGGCACGTCTTCTATTCTGTCAGGTTAAATTGGATTCAGCAGTGTTTTCCTCTCCTCTTGCATCCCTTTCTTTCCGCTGCATGACACTTGTTCAGCAGGAGATGTAGTCTGTTCTCTGCTGTGGAGGTGAAAATTGTGGCCACCTCGCAAGGTTTGATTTAGACAATAATAGAGACTTCATTGAAATCACAAAATACACTTTTTTTATTTAAAAAACTGCTGGCATTAGTGTACAATTTCTTTTGCATTGTGCAATTGATATATATAACTTTATATAACTCTATATAATTTTTAATAATTGTATTTGCATTTTTATTTAATTTTTAGTAATGAAAATAACACTTTATATTTGTACATTTATTTATTATTTTATATTAACTATTAGTAAATATTGTGTTATATAAGTTTAATTCTATATAAATATTTAAATATAAATTGTAATAATAATTACATTTTAGTAGCCCTCTCTGATTCGCTCTTCTAGTGAATTAAAAATTAAAGCTACATTTTTGTGCAATATGCAAATTAAAGAGGTTTTTTTTTTAGCAAAGTGAAACATGAAATACATGTATTATGTTCAATCCACTACTTATTAGATGTCAGTTTTGACCAACCACAGTAGTATGTACTAAGTAGTTTTTAAGTGATTGAGTTTGCTTTTTGAGTGTCCCAGGGTGCATCGTGTGGAATTGGGTGTTTAGTCTTTGTTACTATCCTCCTCCCCCATTTCTCTCTAAAAGAGGGTGCTGCTGGGGAACAAAGGGGATTGTGGGAGAATAGAAAGTAGGTCATATCTGGCTAGATCATGTTGTTGCCCCATTTTATGTTTGTATATGTGTGAAAGAGATGGAAAGATGCACATTGAGAAGTTTGGGTCCAATGAGTTGTATATGCATCAGATCATCATTGTGAGCAATAAGGACAATAAGCATGCTCATCTGTGTGAGTTATAAACCTGTAGTTTGTCATGTATATTGAGCTGATCTTCTGAGTCGCCACATAATTACTGTTCTTGGTCAACACATCAAGATTTCTAGACACTAACTGTTGCTTTTTGAATGAGAATAATCATGATGCTCCTCAAAGTCAGGTTCCAGACAGTGGCTTAACCATGCACATGCATATATGTGCTTAAAAGGACATAGAGTACGTTGAACTTTTGAGGGATTTGTCCATGTCAGGCTTTGTCCATCAGGGTCAGCTGATAATACTAAACCATGTGATTACTTAATCAGCCATTCAACAACTATCCCTCATAGACATTTGCACTCCGGATCTCATTCATAACATCTGCTATGTGTGATGTTTGGTTTAAAGCAGGATTTCACCCAAACATTTTTTCATTGATTACTGAGCCTTATGTGGTTCCAAACCCTTTAAACCTTGTGAAGCCATAAAATAGATTTTTTATTTTTATTGTAAGTCATTATTTGCTGAAAATTGCCCCCCCCCTTCACCTATTGTCCCTTCTGCCTCTTAATTTTGTCTTTGTTAATAATCAAGAAAATAAGTTTTTTTTTATGTTTCTAACACAAAATAGCATAATAGCATCTTTATTCTTATTATTCTTTATTCCAATATTCTTTGATTTTTAATAGATTTAGTTAACCCTAACAACACTGGAATAAAAATACAGGCTTGGAAGGCTGAGTAAATGATGAATTTTCAATTTGGGAGAATTATTCATAGAATTACTTTTAGCCCAAAGTCATATTCTCTGCCTGCATCCCTCCTGACGTCTACCCTCCTTCTCTACTAATGAATGGGCAGCTCCTGCGCTCTTAAAGGATTGAGGTCCAAATCTGTTTCCCTCAATAATACTCCACCAGAGTGGCCCACAGAGGACTGATTTAGGACCCCAATTTCTCGCCTTTTTCAATGCTCCAACTTTATCTTCACTCCCTGAAGCAGATTTGCACACACACAGACACACACTTTCCCGCTCTCGCTCTTTTCTCCTCCCCCACACTCTCACTTTTTTGGACTTTTGTCTGTTAGAAGTATTTCCTTATTCTACTTTTTTTTTAAATCCTTTTTATGAAATGTTCAAATAACTTGAAATAATAAGCCATCAGAAGACACACATGAATGCTTGACCAGGGGGATTACTAGCATGTCATCCCTCTAATAAAAGATTATGAATGGCTTTTATAACAGAGCAGGGGCTTTTCTAACGAGCAGCTGCACAAAATTAAATTCAGCCCCTCAGCTGGGTGTTTTCCTTTGTGTGAACGGTTATTGTCTGCAGTTGAGATTATACTTCAGCTTCAGTCTGTTTCGCTGTGTTTTGTCTCAGTTTTTTTTTTTTTGTGCGTATGTACATACATTATTTTCACCAGTATATCATACTGAATCATTGCCGGTTTTGTTAAGCTCATATGTAATAAGCCCAAAAGAGTCTTTGAAGTATGTGTGTGTTCGGATTCAGTCACTGAATCCAGTCAGTGAATCCTGTAGCTCTTCCCTGCATTGACAGTAAAGGAGGCCCGAGCATTCCTGTCATTCCTGTCCCAGCACACACACACACACACACACACACACTGGGTTCAGTTGGATAACCCAATAAAGGCCCACTGATCCTGATGGGCAGAAAACAGCACAGCTCACTCTAATCTAATATTTACTCAAGTATCAAAGATCTCTCGCTCGCTCTCCTGTCTGTTGTTGTTCCTGACTGTCTGTCTCTATTTTTGCCCAAATATGGACTTGAGGCTGAAAGATGGCAGTGGACATGAAATCGATGTGTGTTTGGGGTGGTGTGGGGAGTTTAGTACCCTCACGCTGTCAGAGCATCTCTGTCTCTCACTCATTCTGTCTCTCTGCTGTCGATGAGCACAGCTGTCATGTTGTGGGGGCAGTATGTCCTGAGGGTAAGGTAAGTTTAGCTTCACACTCACACATTTGCTAGATTTCTGTTGTTTTTATATGAAGATGATTAGAATTTCCTAACCCTAAACCTATAAGAACATTTTTAGTAATTATTAAATAAATCAAGTTTTACATTGAGGGTGTAATCAAAACATTCCAAAAGAGAAGTTTGATGAGATTTATGTCACTTTTGGTGACAGTTTTGTAAACAAACTATAGCCAATATGTACAGACATGCACTCATAGATGAGTTTCACTACCGTTCAAAATCTGTAATATTTTTAATGTTTATAAAGAAGTCTTTTATGCTAACCAAGGATGCATTTATTTGATCAAAAATACAGTAAAACAGTGATATTGTGAAATATTATTACAAGTATTACAGCAGTCATTACTCCAGTCTTCAGTGTCACACGATCCATTAGAAATCATTCTAATATGCTGATTTGGCACTCATTAGAAACATTTCTTATTGTCAGTGTTGAAAACAGTTGTGCTGCTTAATATTTTTGTGGAATCTGAATTCTTTGATGCATAGTAAAATATTGATGCTTCTCATCACTTTAATGCATCTTTGCTGAATAAAAGTATTAATTTCTCAAAAAAGAATAAAAGCCTACTCAAATGCTTAAATGGTACACTCTAAAAAACACTGGGTTAAAAACAACCCAATTTGGGTTGTTATTAACCCAAGGGCTGGGTAAATATAGGACATAACCCATCTTGGGTTAAATCAAATTGGGTTGTTTTTTTTAGCCCAGCATAATGGGTTGATTTAACCCAGCTAATGGGTTTATTCATTTTTACTATATTACTAGCTTATTTTTTACTT